TTTCAAAATGTCCATTGGACCACTCCTCTTTCTTTTTTGAGACAGGGTTTCTCTGTGTAGCCCTGGCTGTACTGGAACTCATTCTGTAGACCAGGCCAGTCTCAAACTCACAGAGAGATCTTCCTGACTCTGCCTCTGCCTCCTGAGTGCTGGGGTTAAAGGCGTGCGCCACCACTGCCTGGCCCCTTTTAACACTCTTCAATGATCACTTCCCGGTATCCACTGTATCTCCAGAACCTTTTCACCTTGTAAAGCTGAAAGTCCACGTTCAATAAAACCAGCTGTGGTGGTTTGAATGTAATTGGTCCCCATAATCTCATAGGGGGTGGCACTACTAGGAGGTATGGCTTTGATGGAGTGGATATGGCCTTGTTGGAGGAAGTGTCACTACCGTGGTGTCTGCCCGGTGTCTCAGCTGACTTCCTGTTGCCTGCAAGATGTAGGACTCTCAGCTACTCCTCCAGCACCATGTCTGACTGCACACACCATGCCCCCGCCATGATAATAGTGGACTAAACCTCTGAAACTGTAAGCAAACCACCCCAATTAAATGTTTTCTTTATAAGAGTTGCTGTGAGGTGGGCGTTGGTGGCTCACGCCTTTAATCCCAGCACTCGGGAGGCAGAGGCAGGTGGATCTGTGTGAGTTCCAGACCAGCCTGGTCTACAGCGCAAGTTCCAGGATAGCCTCCAAAGCCACAAAGAAACCCTGCCTCGAAAAACTAATAATAATAATAATAATAATAATAATAATAATAATAATAATAATAAATTAAAAGAGTTGCTGTAGTCATAAGTCTCTTCACAGCGATAGAAACCCCGACTAAGGGCTGGAGAGATGGCTCAGAGGTTAAGAGCACTGACTGCTCTTCCAGAGGTCCTGAGTTCAATTCCCAGCAACCACATGGTGGCTCACAACCATCCATTATGAGACCTGGTGCCCTCTTCTGGTGTGCAGATATACATGGAAGCAGAATGTTGTATACATAATAAATAAATAAAATCATTAAAAAAAAAAGAAAGAAACCCTGACTAAGACACCAGTCTACCCAGTTGTGGCCACCATCATTATACCTTCTTAGTCTACAAAGGTCACCATCTGGGGACCTCAGTATCAGTAGCATCAGACACGATCTATCCTGTGGGCCTTGCTTATGCTGTTCATTCCAGTGTCGTCTGGATTCACCCAGGTACAGCAGGGATCTGATCGCTTCTTCCTTAAGGCTGGATATCGTTCCACCACAAGATGAATGGACACATGGACGACACCTCCACCGAGACCTCTGTCTTTGTTAGAGTTTCTATTACTGTGATGAAACACCATGACCAAAAAAGGTAGCAGGGGAAGAAAGGGTTTATTTGGCTTACACTTCCGCATTGTAGTCTGTCACTGAAGGAAGTCAGGACAGGAACTCAAGCAGGGCAGGATCCTGGAGGCAGGAGCTGATGCAGAGGCCACAGAGGGGTGCTGCTTACTGGCTTGTTCAGTCTGCTTATTTATAGAACCCAGGACCACCAGCCCAGGAATGGTACCACCCACAATGGCCTGGACCCCCACCCCCTGTCAGTCACTAATTAAAAAATTGCCTAATAGCTGGATCTCATGGCAGCATTTTCTCAGCTGAGGTTCTTTCCTTTCAGATGACTCCAACTGGAGTCAAGTTGACATAAAATCATCCAGGACAGACTCTAACAGAAGTGCAGGATTTATGGACTTTTACTTCCTTGGTATAATCTTGTCAAAAAGCCTCCTCCTCCCCCTCTTCATGCGGGTGTTTTGCTTTCATGTCTTTCTGTGTTCCATGTGCATGCCTGATACCCACAGAAGCCAGAAGAGGGCATTGGGTCTCCTGGAACTGAAGTGACAGATGAATCTCCCGGGAACTGGAGTTTAGAAGGCTGTGAGTCACCATGTGGGTGCTGGGAATCGGGCCCAGGTCCTCTGCAAGTGCAGCCAGTGCCAGTAACTGCGGTTATTCTTGAGGACACTAAAGTTGCCCTGCGTTTGACAAGCTGCCTCTGTGCTGGTGATCACATTGTCTATCTCTTTAGGTCTGTCATCGTGTTCATCTGTCTCCAGAAACCTGGCTGCCTTTGGGGTTTTGGCGTGAGTTAACAGGGCACCTGATACCACAGCTAGAGCTAGGAGTTCTCAGGGTCCAGCCTTAGCTCCTCTGCCTTGCTCTTGGCATCATCTGCCCCTCTGAGAACAGTTCTGCCCTTGACTTTCCCTCCTTTGGGTCTTACTGATGCCAAGGGGCAAAGGGAAACAGTTTTCTATGGTATCCGCCCTCTCATACACAAAAGGGCAAGAGGCCTCCTATCTCAGCAAGGGAAGTGTTGAAGGGACCCGCCCAAAACAGAAGAGGAAGGGGAAGCAAAGGCGCTTCAGAGAAATGTCAACCCCAAGGGCTTGCCAGTCCTCAACACCCTGGTTCCTTCAAGAGGCGCACACTCCAAGTATGAAACACAAGCCACTGTGCGTTTGACAACTTTCCAGTGTCCCAGGTCGGCCCAGGCTGCTCTATCCCTGCAAACTCTGTTAGCTACACCTAACCCATAGGGGTTTTCTTGCCAGTGCTGACCTGGTAGCTTCCAAAACCCCCAGAAACCAACCCCAGGTCTTTATCTCACGATCAGAGACAGCTATGTGTGTTCTGGCCTTGAAAGCTGTGTCAGGAAGGGAGGGAGGAGGGGACAGTAAGGCCCCTCCCCTTTGAGCTGGCTGGAATCACTCAGCAGGTCTCTGCTGCCTCCTCAACAGAGTGGTGGTTAAGGGATCAATGGATAGGGGCCCGAGGAGCAGCCAAGGGCATGGAGTTACCAAAAGGCCAGAGAGGTACAGGAACCCTAATGCCTGCACCCAAGCACACACTCTCCCAGGGAAGTGGTCTGAGGGGTACAAGGAGCTCCAAGGCAGGCTGGAGAGCCGGGGGCACTCAGAAGGACAGCTGGAGCTGGGTGCCGGAACCGGCCCTGACCAGCTACCCTCCTCAGTGCGGGAATCAGAAACATTCCATCTCTACCTTTGGAAATAAGCCAGGAAGATTCCAGGTTGGCCCAGTCAGGGTTCAGAACCTACCCCAACTCCTGCCAAGCCAGGGCTGGCTATAAGCAACCGTGGAGGCTGGGGCACAACTGGATCTTAGCTGGGACAGGAAGGACATACCCCAGCCTCGGGCCCAGCCCTGCTTGGCACCTGCGCTCTCCCCTTACACCCCATCACACTTGACCTCAGACATCTATTGTCACCTCACTTGAGAAAGCCCTGTGTCCATGCCTCTCCTGGGCCCTGCTCTTGGCTTTCTCCTTTTCTCTGCTTCGTGAGGGAGTCAGCCTGCCCCTGAGAACTGGGGGTAACAGTCACTTACGGCCCAGAGCCCATAGCTCTGGATCTCAGCTCCCGTCTGTTAGATACAAGCCATTGGGAGGACTGGAGGCAACAGGGAGGGTCTGGGAAACCTAAGCCCCCTTCAGGACTAGAGAGAGCCCTGTCTCTGTGGTCCCCTCATGTGAGTCTTCTCCACTCCCCGGTTCCATCTGTTCACCACTCCTAGCCATCCTTGATACTCTCTGCAAGGAGGAGTAGCAGCAGGGACGCCCCTGCAAACAGTCTTTGGGGCACTCTGTAGTACCCCAGCCTGAGACCGGAAGCTGTTTGCAGCAAGTAGACACCTTGCAGGACCAGCTCCCTGGACTCAGGGAGGAGTGAGGTAGAGCACCTTTCAACGACCTGACTCCAAGGTTGCAGGAAAGGCCTGATCAGTGATGACCTACTATGTGCCAGGTCAAGAAAGACTCTTTCCTCCCCTGGAAAGACCACTGACTTTCAACCACAGTCCATCTCTCCCTGGCCTCTGTATTCTAGCCCCTCAGCCCCTTGGTGGATACCCTCAGCCCCCAGATCTGTTCTTGGCAGTTTCCAGGAACTGTCCACATTTACCCTAAAGGTTTCCTGAGGGAGGATGAACCCTGACTCAAAGGCCAACCCCAGATGTCGGGACTGCATGCTCCAAGGGTCTTTCCCATGAGTCAGCTGTCGGTACTGAAATGCAGGGAGTCGGTACTGAAATGCAGAAGTACACACTGGTGTGTGCGCCCACTCCTGTTTACCCAATCCCAAGCCACCTGGAGATAAGCACACAGAGAAAGCCTTCAGCATCTCTCTGTCAGTGGAGTGATCCAGCCAGTTTCTGTGTCATCTGGCTGTCAGCCACCTCAAAGGCCTGAGGCAGACTGGAACTCAGAAACTGGAGGCAGAGGCAGCCAGACCTTCAGCTGGTCTCTCTATGCCCTGGGAACTTCCCAACGTCCCCCCACACCAAATCCACCCAAGCCTCTCCAGAGAGCACAGCTGATGGCCTTCACCTGGTATGGGGTGACCACCATCACCACTGCCAAGCGAACACGTCGCATCTCTGGAGATACAACTAGGGATGTAAGGATTCAGGCATTAAGCTGGCCCTGTCACCTGGCAGAATGCACTCGGGCAGTACCTTGGTCAGCCCAGGGTTCCGTGGTTGCATAGTCTGCCAGCAGGTGTAAAGGACCCCTTAAAAAACAAACCCCGCCCACTTATGCTCTCTTTGCTGCTCCTCTCTTTCCCTCTCTTTGTGCTGTCTCTTTCCTGCTGTTCCCCTGGGGCAGACAGGACTTTTCCTGTCTCTCTCTTCTCTTCTGTCCTCTCTGTGTCTCTTTACCTCTGTTCTCTTTCCTTCCCCTTCCCTCCCATTTCTAATAAAGTTCTCACTTAAGCCCTGTCTGCCTGGCATGTTTGCCCCTCTGCCTCCGTGAACCTTGCCCACCATGTAGTCTGCCAAGGTGTCCTCATCATCGTGTCCTCCCACCCCACCCCCCGACGTGCAAGGTCCCTCTCACAATTTATCATAACAAGGGAGGTGCTGCTGGTATTGGGTGGAGACCAGCATTGGGATACTGCCCAGTGCCCAGCACACAAAGTTCAGCCTGTGCCCCAAACGTGCACAGTATTAGGTATGAAGTCCAACAGCTGTTGATGGGTGGCAGAAAGTTTGGAGCAGGCTCTAGTGATGACCCAAATGAGATGAGACCCAGGCGGCGATTACATCATGCCCTGCCTCCTTACCACACCCAGCCAGGGGAATCCACAAATCTAGGGAACCTAGGCTGGCAGTTGAGGCCAGAACAGCCATAGGGACACAGAGAGGGGAAGGCCCAGTAAGCCTGGGACACTGTCCTCCCCCTCCCTTTGCACTGAAAGCAGAAATAACCTGGGTTGGGGAACTACAAGGCCCAGGGTTGCCCTGCTGTAGTACTGTGGTTTGGTCTCCTCTACACCACATACCCATGACGCCATCCCAGACATGTAGACATGGTAGTGAGATAGCCCATAAAGAAAAGCACCTCAGCAGTGTGACCTCTCTGTACTCACCAGAAATAGGTTGTTAGGGATGTAGCCACTCCAGTTCCCAAAGGCTGGGATCACACCAGGTTCTTATCTGCTGTCTTATGGAATCCCCTAACCTGTAACTAGCGGGGGCGGTCTAAAGTCACCAAGACCTCAAACGCTGCAGCTTCTGGAGTTGGTGAGTTTTCTGCCATTCAAGAACATCCCCCTCCCCCAATCACAGGGGCAGACCTCATTCTAAGCCTGGGAGTCTTGTACCATAAGCTCATGGAGCAATCCCTACTACAGGGACACACGGGCTTTGAGGCAGCAAGGAATATGCCGTCCACCAAGGAAAAAACTGATCAGGTGAGCCACCTCTACTTCCTGCCCCCTCACCTACAGATAGTCAGGCTCTGAGACTTCCTTCTGTATTGGTGAGTAAGTCATGTGACCCAAAGTCATACCTTACCCCCTGACTCCCATTAGAAAAGAACCCCAGCTGTTTCTTCACTTACCCACAAGATCAAGATGGTGATGGATGCCCACAGGACCACAGACAGACACATATCTGTCACTCAAACCCACAGCACACCCACCTACAGAAGCCTCTCATGTCTCCAGTACAACCTCCAGTGTACACAGTGCTCAGGACACAACCCTGGGCTAAACTTACTGCCCTGGGACTTCAGGCAAGCTGTCTTCTTTCCCTCGGCTGGCTCCCTGGGGACAGAGTAAATTGGTGCTCAACTGAGCAGGCTGTGGGTGTTCCTCCCAGCTATACCACCTCTCCAGGGATGCCCTCCATCAAAGGACCATCTTGCCAGAGGGCTACACTTGGTTCTGAGTCCAGTGTGCTGTGAGGTTGCAGATTGCTGTCTGCTAAGCCTTCTGCTTACAAAACAGGTCCTTCCAGCTCCCAAATTGGCGCCAGGAATGCTTGAGCTATTACTTCAGTCTGTTTGATGGACATGCGTTCTGTTCTTCTGGGAGTCCCTATTTCTCTAGGTCCAGATCCATTTCAACTGCTTCCTACAATGTGGATATACAGTTGTATACACTAATATCTTTCTTCGGGATTTCTTTTTGTTTAAAAAAAAATTTGTGCTTGTTTATTTATTGTGTATGCATGCCACAGAGCTTGTTGGGAGGTCAGAGGACAACTTGCAGGAGTTGGTCCTCTCCTTCCACTATGTGGTGTCTGGGGATTGAAGACATATCATCAGGTTTGGCAGTGAGTGCCTAAGTCATCTCACTGGCCAGTTTTTTTTTTTTTTTTCACTGTTTTATTTGCACAGAGAAAACTCACCCTCCAACACTCATGCCTACAGCTTTAACAGCTGTGTATCCCCTACCGCACGAGTTCCACAGACCCCAAATTCTCTCATGCACTCGTGCTCCATCTTCTGGATGGACTATGGGCCTTTAGCTACCAGCCAGTTGAAAAGGTAATTTCCAGCTCGGATCAATTAACTGCTATAAGATTTTCAGCACAATTTCTGGATAGTTAGGGGTGACAAATCATTCCATGTTCTTTTACAGACGCACCTAGTCTCCCCAGCAACAGTGGAGCATTCCTTTTGCTACAGGTTTGTCTGAATGTGATGTGTCTGTCAGCTTGTTTAGTAACGGCTTAGCCATTCTAGTGTGTGTGCCGCTGTAATAACCGGGGTTTTCGTGTGCGTCGGCTTGACACCTCTGAAACCTCTTGGCTGCTGTGTTAGTTCATAACACTGGGCTGTTTGTTTATTGTTGAGTTCTGAGAGTTCTTTACATATTCTGAATAACACTCCTTTATCTGATAAATAGTCCCCTCTGTGTCACTGTGGCTTATTATCTTTTAAATCTTCAGCCACAGCCCCAATCTTTACTACATCCTCTTTCTTGGAGTTTTTCTTTAACTCTTGATTTTTATCTCTGTTTTTCAACATTCAACATTGTTTACAACATTAAGTAGGACCTAACCTACTTCTTTGCCCTATATGTGATTCCTTTTTAAAAACTGAAGTATAATTTGAATAATAGTACAGTTAAGCCCTTCCAGGCATCTAGTGCTGAGTAAATGAGCCTAGGCATGCCTTCAGCTGCTACCCCTCCCCCTGTGCCAGCCCTAGTGACCTAAGCCAGAGCCCACGCTTCCCAGCCCTAAGGCGCTGTCTTCACTACACACGGGTCTGGAGCTGCTTCTCAATGCTGCGGTCTTGCCGTGGCCACAGGTCGGTACTGTGTTTGTTGCAATTCTGTTTTCTGTGCTTTACATTTATTAAGACCTCTGCTTTGGCTCATGGGTTATCTGGGAGTGTGCCTGGGCTTTCAAACAGGAAGCAATGTCAAAAGGGTCGGTCATACGGTGTGACCGAATGCTCTTGCCAGTCACATTCTATAGTTACCCATTTACAAGCCCCACCCTTCAGCCCACCTGTCCCCATCTCCACCACCTACCTACTTACCTCTCATCCCTCCAGCCTGCCATCCACCCTCTCTCATCCATCTTCCTAAGTGTTTATCCTCCCTCTCTTGCTCATTTAACCACCCAGATCTCTCTCTATCCATCACTCCTCCTCTCTATCCACCCACCCACCCTCCCCTTCTATCTATTCTTATTAAACCCCAAGGCAACCCCAGTGTCTGGCGCCAAACAAGCCCTCTCTTCTCACTCTGCCATTCCTCTGGCAAGCAGAGCTGGGAGAGGGGCAGGAGGGAGCTGGGGACTTCCCAGGGACAAAGGCCTGACCACCCTCCAGATGTCCACCACAGCTGCCCAATATTCTGGGCTCTGGGCCTTGTTTTCCCACACCTTTTGCCCCAAACTACCCTCAACAACAGCAGCAGGAAGACGGGTAGGATCACACTGGAGTGCATTGGCTGTGGTGACTTCATCCATCCGTAGAGGACTTTGTGGTTAGGTTCAGGGGATGCCGTCTAGCTGAAGAAAGCTGAGGTAGGCAGCCTACGGCACCCACTGGTGGGAGAAGCCTCCTTTGAACCTAGGCCACATTGGCTAATGTCTGATGCCAAGCCTTGGAAACCAGCATGGAGAAGGAAGAAATGTGTGTGCTGGTTTTCCCTCTCCCCAGTAAATGGCAAATATCCAAAGGTAGGGTGGAGGGGGTCTGTTTGTTTACTTGTTTGAGCGAGGCCCTTGCTATACAGCCCAGGCTGGCTTTGAACTCAGGACCTTCCTGCTTCTACCTCCCAAGTGCTGGCATTACAGGCATTTGTCACCATGCAAGGCTAGGATAATTTCTTGACACAGAGACACCAGAAACATCAACCAGGAAGTCTTCCAGGTCACAGTGACATGTTCTAGGCCCCTGGGGCTTCTCAGAGCTCCTGGCTCATGTGCCCCATAAGGACAGGAAGGCAGCTAGAAGTAACTGGACACTTGTTCAAACCTTTTTCCCATTGGTACTGGGAGATAGTCAGTCACTGTACCCTAGGGTCATCCCTTCAGGGTCACCTCTTGGTCCGCTCTCCTGACAAGCCCTAGTACCTGAACAAGGACACACATCCCATCCATAGGAGTGGCCGCTGGGTACAGTTGTCTGACCACACTCAGTGGGATTCCTGAAGCATGCCAGGCCCTGCTGGGGGAATGTAGCATCTCAGTGTTTGGCCAACAAAGACCCCTGACTGGCTGAGATACCCCCGATTCTTGCTCAGGGAGCTCTGGCCCCATGCATGCCACATCTTCCTCAGGCCACCTATGGGGCAGCTCTTCTTTGGTCCAGGCCTGCCAGCTTCTTCAGATGCCACAATCTCCTGGGGACAAGGAGGATGAGCAGCCTGGGAGCACTCATCACACTGCCTATATAAAGAGCTAGGGCCATCCCACTTTAATAACAGACAGGAAAGTGCCAACACACAAACAAACATCAACAATACAGAGGACATACAAGGCATATATGAGGGGCCTGTATTTCTACAAATCTCAGAGGATTCTTGGCACCTTTCACACAGGCACAAAATGAAGATTATGGTGACTGGGTTCCTAGGTCCCCACCCTCTACACAGTGGGGAAAGGGGAGACATTTCTCATTCACCCTAAACTCATCCTGCAAATAACTTAAAAAAAAAAAAAAGACAGAGTCTCACTATAGAGCCCTGGATGTCCTGGAATTCACTGTGTAGACCAGGCTGGCCTCAAACTCACAGAGCTCTTCCTGCCTCTGCCTCCCAAATCCTGGAACTAAAGCCATGAGTCACCATGCCTGGCTTCTGAGCAACTTACCACACACCTTCTCCAAATCCTGGAAAACAAACAAACAAACAAAAATCCAAACAAAACACCAGAGGAGAAAAAGGAGGAACAGGGAGGAGGGAGAGTGAGCATTTGCAGTGACATCCCTTGGTTAGTAGCTCCTAAATCCGGGAGGGGAAGGTGGAGAACTTCGAGGACTCATTTCCCTCCCAACCCTCGTGTGACACCCACACAGGAAGCCCTATTCCTCAGTTCCTTCAGGTGGACAGGCCCAGCACTTAGGCTGCGAGGTCACAGCCCCTGCCTGCTTGTCCACGTGAACTGACCCCAGTAGGTACGTAGGGTCCCAGGGTCACCATTGCTCTTGCCTTCTTCCTCTTAAGCATGTTCTCACACAGGTGCTCCAAGTTTCAGCCCACCACAGCCCTGCAGCCCTGCAGCCCTGCAGCCCTGGACATTAGTGAGCACGGGGGGGGGGGAATATAGGGAAAAGGGGACTAGCCAAAGAAACACACCCCGAGCAGAACCAAAGAAACACACTTTGGCCCCACAACCAGAACCAAAGAAATACTCCCTGACCCTGAAACCAGTGCCAAAGAAACACACTTTGTCCCTGGAATCAGAGACAGTGAAAGAAATACACCCTGGCCCTAAAACTAGAGCCAAAAAGCTAAAAAGGACCAGTGAAAGAAATACACTTTGGCCCTGAAACCAGAACCGAATCTGACCCTAAACCTGTTCAGAAAACCAACCAATCCCTGAGAAGATCTAGCCATCCTAAACTCAGGAATTAAAATTTGACCAATCCCCACCCTGGAAAAACTCCACCCATTAAGAATCCCTATATAAACACTGTGTTCAGCTTGAGAGTGTTCTGGCTGCACCTTGGCAGAAGGCAGCCACTCTCCTGGATTCTTCCCTCCCAATAAATCTCTTGAATGAGTTTGGGTGAAGACCTTCTTTCCCTGGAGCAGAGATGACCCGGGACAAAGCAGGGCTGTAACACTTTTTGCTGGGGAAACCTTCCCCTGGCTAAGCAGAGTTGTTACACTCTGCTCTCTGGGGGACACTGGAGCCAAGCTGTAACAACTTCGCCAGGGGAAACCCTCTCCTGCCCAGCAGAGCTGATACACTGGTGAAGCCTTTCCCTGTAGCAGGGCTGTGAGCTGCTATGCTTATTGTGACCTGTGGCATTCCTTGGCTCCCGAGTGCCAGGATACCTTTCCGTCTGAGCTGTAACATTCAGTATTCTTTGGCTCCCAAGCGCCATAATCCATCCCTGTCCATCCCATCCTAACCATGGAAATGCTTACAGCCAGCTTGTGGGCAGACGGCCTTTTCTCTACCAAGTCCTGCTTGTTGGCCAGCACTAACACCAGCACTCCCTGGAGGCTCTGTTGATCCATTGTAGTCTCATCTCTGCTTCCTCTAGCCACTCAGTCTCTCCAAGTCCACCACAACACCACCATCGGTCTGGTGGGTGCAGGACTGACTGACTCATTGTCTCTCTGCTTCCCTTGACTCCCAACATGACACGCTTGGAAGGTGATTCCAGGAGACTCTGCCAAGGGCACTCTGATCTCAGTCTTGAAGCCTTGGGTTGAAACATTCTGAACGAACTGCTTGAACTTTAGGCAGTGAAGAAGAAAGGTCTTCCCGGCCTAGTCCAGCCTGGTGACAAATGCCCTCCTAGCCCGCCACACAGCTTCACCAACTCTGAGAAGCTCCTTGGCCACAGAGCGCGCTCTTCGTCCTCATTTGTGACCCCAAGAGGCTGCCACCCGGAAGAGGTGGTGCAGTGCAGAAGGACAGACAGACCTAAAACTTAATCTGTTTAGATTTCCAACCGTGGCCTGCCGACCTGCCACCTGGTGGTTGCCACAGTCCTTGCACCTGCGCATAGCATAGACTAGTCCTGGATTCCTGCTTGGCTCCAGTCTCCTTTGCCAAACCTGTGCCGGACTCAGGAAGGGAGGTAAGGGGAGCACTTTTGTGTGGGCTGGAAGCGGGCTGTGCCCACCCCCACCCCCACCCCTGCTCACCCAGCTTCTAGGGTTCCCGTCTGTCCCCCTCCATCAACTCTTCCGTAGGATCACAACATCTGTAAGTCCCCAAAGCATCGCACCCCCGCCAGACACTCGCAGACCTGGATAAGAGATTGTTCTTGCAGATAAAAAGGGCTCGCCCGGCTTTCGCTGTCCGGGACACTTTCTTTCCCATCCGGGATGCTGAAACTTGCTGCCCCTTCTGGCC